TTGGACCCTGTTATGTGCATGAGTAATAACAATAATGTTATTGTGCTGTCAAAACAATTCTGACTTATGGCGACCCTTTTCAGGACCTTCCAGGTAGAGAATACTCAGAAATAGTTTCCCATCCTCTTCTTCTGGGGACATCCTGGGGCTGTGCAGCTTGCCCAAGGCCACGCAGGGTGACTCTTCTCCCTGGAACACAGTGAGGAATCGAACCCCTAACCTCTGTCTCCGCAGCCAGATACTTAACTCACTGATCAATCCAGCCAGCTTTTGTTTCTGCATTGTAATTACGCACATTGTTATTATGCCCTATACTGATGCCTTAGAGCTTTAAACCTAGGGGTCTCCGTTTTACAGCACAATTTTGTGTTTACTCAGAAGTAAACGCCCTCACCCCACCCTGAGTTTAATAGTGTTTATTCCTAGGATCTAGCATCGCAGACTCCAAGGACTGTTACAATGGCTGAAATCATATGGCTTAGCATATATCTGTGAAAATTCTCAGTCATCCAGGTGTGGTAATCTGGAAGTTGAGCCATGGCGACTTATTTCTTGTTAGGTTGAAACGTTTCTCTACTAATCCAAGCAGCTTCTTCAATCTGAGGAGAGTTGGTAGGAGATCCCTGATATATCCTCCACATGGGGCAGAGGGTTGGTTTAACTTCCCCCTGGTCTGGATAGGCTCCTTAGGAGGACTGGGGGGGAGAGGGATAATCCCACTTCTACAGTCTTTCTCCACCCATTGTCATGGGTCATTGACGGTTGTTAACAGTGATGTTTCTTGTGTGTGTCCTACTCTTTCTGGGGACTGATGAAAGGGCAGCATGATAAATAAGAGACAGACTGTATCTAAGGCCCATAAATAGGAGACAGACTGTATCTAAGGCTCCCACCCCTTTTGAGTGAGGGATTTCCTATATGAACATGTATGGCCTCTCTGACCCAAACCATCTATCTTCTCAGTCTAAAATGAGGACATTTTGAGTGAGGGATTTTCTATATGAACATGAATGGCCACTCTGACCCCTCTCCAATCCATCTATCTTCTCAGTCTAAAATGATGACATCTTGGTCATCAAACCAGTGTCCTTTGTCCTTCAAATGAAAGAACACTGCTGATTGTGGTCCTGGGCCATTGTCCCTCCTGTGCAGGGCCATTCCCCTGTTTAGTTGCTGTTTGGTTTATTTTATTTATTTATTAATTTTATTTATATCCCGCCTATCTGGTCGGGTTAGGACCACTCCAACACAGAGCTCCGAACACTCCTCTTTGCATTGGACCACATACACTGTATTGCTCCTGTGGCTTCCCATAGTAAGACACAGCTAGAGTAGGCCTATTTGAATCAATGGAATTTACAGAGGAATTAACTCACGAATCCCCCGATTCAATGGGGCTACACTAATGCAACTCGCTTCGCTAAGCCTCTGGATTTCAGCCAATGTGCTGTTCTGTATGAAATCAAGATAGTGTGATACAGTCTTTTGTCTTTTATGCTTGTCATTGCCTGTATACTTATGTCGGTCTTGCAAAGCACTCCATAAAAAGTTACAACTAGCTCATAATAAGAAGTTATTTATTTTACTGCCTGCCTCCTCACAGAGGCCTGTGTTAGTAACTGGAGGACAGAACAAACACTAATAGACATAAGGGGAAAAGCTTAGGAAGTTGCCTTATACTGTACCTCAGCAATGTCTGGCAACAGGCTTAGTTTTACCCAGGGGGTAAGGGAGTAGCTTACAGGGACGTGGTGGCGCTCTGGGTTAAACCAAGCAAGGTTGGAAGACCAGCCGTCGTAAGATCAAATCCACACGATGGAGGGAGCTCCTGTCGCTTGTCCCAGCTCCTGCTAACCTAGCAGTTCGAAAGCATGTAAAAATGTGAGTAGATAAATAGATACCACTATGGTGGGAAGGTAACAGCATTCCGTGTCTAGTTGCACCGGCCATCGGCATTCCATGTCTAGTTGCGCTGGCCACTCGACCACGGAAATTGTATTTGGACAAACGCTAGCTCTATGGTGTGGAAACGGGGATGAGCACTGTGCCCTAGAGTCGGACACGACTGGACTAAATGTCAAGGGGAACCTTTACCTTTACCTAAGGGAGTAGCTGTGGCCTCTGGATGGTTTTGGCCTACACCATTTGTCCTAGATCAGATCGAGCCTGAACTATATCTGGAGGCAAAAGTGTTGAAGCTAAGGCTGTCCTACTTTGGGCACATCCTGAGAAGGCAAGATTTATTGGAAAAGACAATAATGCTGGGAAAGGTGGAAAGCAGCAGGAAAAGAGGAAGGCCAAATATAAGATAGACTGACTCCCTAAAGGAAGCCACAGGTTTGCATTTACAAGAGCTAAGCAAGGCAGTTGAGGGCAGGACAATTTGGAGGTCAGTCATGCAAAAGGTTGTCATAGGTCAGAGGGGAGTTGACAGCATATAAGAACAATAAAATCCATTCTCGTAGTGTGTAGAGCCCGTGGGGAAAGATTGTTACAGCCCAAAAGCATCTGGAAGGCCCAGGAGGTCTAGACCAGTGGTTCTTAACCTTTGTTACTCAGATGCTTTTGAACTGCAACTCCCAGAAACCCCAGTCAGCACAGTTGGTGGTGAAGGCTTCTGGGAGTTGCAGTCCAAAACTCCTGAGTAACCCAAGGTTAAGAACCAGTGGTCTAGACTCCTTTGGGCCAAGGTCCTGATCTCACAAAGCCACAAAGTCTAATTTCAAAAGTTCCTGTTGGGACTGTAACGCCCAGAATCCCTCAGTCTGGCAGATGCTTAGAGGCATTCTTCCAAAAAATGTAACTTGTGTGGCATCTAGTTCAGTTTGGACTAGGTCCACTTGCTGGCACACGGCCCTGACAGATTGAAAAGGAAGATGATTCTCGCCAGAATAAAAGGTGGCCCTCCCAAACTCACCACTGCCTGGGCTACCGTTATCCCAGGTTTCAAAGCCCAGTTCTTTACTGGCCATATCCACTGAAATGAAAAGCAGGCGAGAGGCTCTGTTACAGAATCACAGCAAAGCTTTGTTACAAGAAACCATTTTGTATTCACCACAAGCGGTCGAGTGTGGGTCTAACAAGTACAGTATCTATAGGCAGAACGCAGGACTGTGACGTGAAAAAAGGCCACTGGTAGCCATACTGAGCCATTCCTCCACAGAGTGTGTGTGTGTGGGGGGGAAGAGACACCCCCCTTTCCCTCACCTCTTCTCAACAGACAGCCAAATTATGTTCCCACAGGAGGCAAAAATAAATCCCGCCATTTCTGTTTGAATAAATTACCACCATTTCTGTTCTGTTTTACCTGTTCTGTTAACCGCCCAGAAGAGTGAGTGCCTTGCACTAATTTGGGGGGGGGGGTTATAGAAACCTACGAAGTAAGTAAGTACTGTACTCAAGAGCGTCTCTCCCAGCAAAACAATAAATAACGATGACTTTGCCCTCCCATCTTGATATCCCAAGTCTGCTTCCTGAGGTAATGACCAACTCTCTCTCTCTCCAAGGCCAGCCCTACTAATGGACAGAATGAGAATCTTAGAGAAGGCTGGAGTGTGATCTGGGTGTCAGGAGCAAGGATGGCCCCTATTTTAAATTATTTCCAGGCCTTGGGCCTTCCATTATCTTTCTCCAGCAGACGGTCTTTCAATTAAGAGTTTATCTATGCAGGGCTTCTTTCCCTCCTCCCCCCCCCCCATGTGGTGGGAAGATGGTTCTGGGTGTCACCAAAGACCGCAAGCTGCCAGTTATGTTTCTTTCTTCTTCTAGTATTTTTTACTGCCAGCAAATCCCTGGTGGGATTTTCTTCCTGAGGTGCCAAAATAATTTGCCTGGTTTAGACTAGAAACCTTCACCTGGGTTTTTGTATATGTGTTTGAGGGGGGGGGGGAACGACTCTCCACTGTTTGGTGTTCCTGTCACTTATTAGCCTCTTAGTAGCGCCAGCCCTGGAGCAGAGGCGCTTTCTTTGGTTTAATTAAAATACAAGATGACAGGCATGCACAGTTTTGCCTCGGGTGATGATGACATCTTCCCCAGTTTCTTTTTTATTATTTTATTTTGCCGTATTTTATTTCTGTGCCACCTTTTCTCCCAATTACAGGGCCCAAGGTGGCTGCAGGTTTCCCTTTAGAGCAGCCATAAACACATCACCCGAAAGGAGGTCAGCCGTCTGCATAAAATGTCATACACGGAGATATATATGTGGAGATGCAAAATCAGAAATGAGGGTTATACTGTATTTTAAACAGAACTGGGCCTCCCTCCTGAGAGAAAAGCCAGCCTGTGTGGCCTTGGGCAAGCTGCACAGTCCTGGGACGTCCCCAGACGAAGAGAAAGGCAAGGCACCTCTGAGTAATCTTCACCTGGGAAGCCCTGAAAAGGGTCCCCATAAGTCAGAACTCACTGGACAGCACAAGTGGATGATTATAAGACCCATCACTCAAAGCAATGGGAAGACAATGATCCAGGCGACCTGTGTTCTTAACTGTGGCTGGGCAACTTCGAGGTCCCTGATGATCTCCTTCCTTCTGTTCCTTTATTTTTTAAAATCAAACTTTGGTCTGGGCACCCCTTTAAAAAAAAAAAAGAAGAAGGACCTGCCTTCCAATGGAGGATTTTCCTCTCAAAAAAAAGAAGAAAAAAAAGGATATGTGGCCACAGTAGCTATCTCTACCCACCCGTTTCTTCCTTTACCTAGAAGAAGCAGGCTGGGTTCTTTGACGCCTACTGTTTTGTTTTTTATTTTATTTTATTTTAAATATCTTGAGGCGTTTTTCTTCCCACCATCCAGCGGAGGGCGGTAAACAGAGAAGCGAGTCTCTCCAAAAGCGCGCAGACATACACACACACACACGAACCACGCAGCCAAGGCTTACGGAAAGGAGAGGAGGCGTTCAAAAGAGAAGGAGGAGGGGGGGAAAAAGAAAGAGAGAGAGAACAAGCAAGCAAGCAAGCAGGAGAGAAGCTGATCTCTTCTCTTTTTTTTGCTTCTCTTCCCTCCCCCTTTCCAGCTCCTCCTCCGCCGCCGCCACCGCCAGCCCCTTGTGTGGGACTCCATTTTCCCAGTCCCAAAGTCTCAAAGGAAAGGGCCGTGGGAGCGCGCCTCCAAGATGGAATAGGGGCTCCCAGCGCCGCCGGATCTGCAAAAATTAAGGATATCCCCGTCCTTTTGTGTGTGTGTGTTTGTGTGTTGTTGGGGAAGGAGGAGGAGGAGGAGGAGGGAAGGAAGAGACGCACGCACACGCATACAGAGAGAGTTCAGCTGGTGGTCTTGCTGAGAATGGATGATCAAGGGAGGCTGATCCAAGCTCGGGGTGCTGTGGGGCTCCCGGGCCACCCTCCCGTCCAAGGGGTGCAGACGATGACCCCTCACTCTCTCCACGAGCCCCCCTCGGACAACGGGGAGCCCCGGAAGCAAGACATCGGCGACATCCTCCAGCAGATCATGACCATCACCGACCAAAGCTTGGACGAAGCGCAGGCAAAGTTGGTTACCCTTCTCCATTTCTTCGGCGACCCTGGGCATTGTGTGTGTGTGTGTGTGTGTTGAGGGTTTTTTTTTAAATGGGGGGGGTTGTTGGGAAAGTTTGGGTCGGAGGAGGGTCTCTCTCTGCCTTTGTGTGTGAGTGCGTGGGGTAGGCAACTCTCGGCCAGGCGTGGATGGATGGATGGATGGAGCTGGCGTGGAAAAAGAGCGCCAGGAGCCCGAAAGTCTGAATGGGGCGGCGTGGGATCTGGGCGCCCCACTGGAGAGAGGTTTTGTGGGTGGGGGAGGGAAGCTTGGAGGTTTCTAAGGGTTGTGATGGAGAGTTTCTCCAGATCGTGGTAACCCCTAGGGGCCGAAGGAGGCACTTTTTTTAATGGGGGCAACTTCAGCGGTCCTGGATTTGTGGATCTAAGATCTTTGGGGATGCCCAGTTGGGGCTTTTGGGAAAGGGGGATTTGGGAAATGAAGGTGGGAGGGGGGTCCTTGGGTGAATGAGGTGCTTGCGGCGAGAAGATGGAGCTTCTAGGGATAGGATTACTTGGTGAGTAAAACTCCATCGGTGTCTCTAGGGAATAGCTGGAGGCCTAGAAGTATGGCACAAGTTTGGTTTTCTTTCTTGGATAGGAAATCGGGAAGAGGAAGACTTTATGTGGGATGATTGGGTCTTGTTTGATTTGGGATTCAGGACAAAAAAGAGAAGTGTAGCGAATTAAGTGGCGTGTGCATCTTATAGCCTGATATAGGGCATATGCATGTAGAATATGAATGTATTGAACTGGTTACCGATAGAAAGTGGCGACCAATGACTGGCACTACCGGGTGATTTACACTATAGGATTGGGTCCAGGCATGTTTAGAGTAGACTCACGCAGATCTAACTTAGCAGATCAGTAGGGCAATATAGCCCTAATAGATATATTAACTTAGGTCCGCTCAAAGACTGAGCCAGAATCCAACCCATTTTTGAGAAGGAGATGTAACAGTTTGTTGAAAGAAAGAGGCGGTGGGGGGGTGTTCCCTCTTGGAAAAAAAACCTGCTCCAATTTATTCCTCTGACCCATGTCTTTTGCTTGAACTAGTCAACCTCTCCCCAGAAAATTTTAAGATTTTGACTTTTCACCCCACTGCCTGCATTTTCTGTCCCAGCTCCCAGTCTGCGCTTTTGATTTCAGAGGTATCCTGTCTCATATTGTTAGGGTCTTTGGGCTGCACATTCATATTTGCAACTACTGTACATACATTTCTCCAACCTGGAGAAGGCCTTAGTGTTTGGGCTGTGTTTTTGTAAATGCCAAACTTTGAATATAAAGAGGACGGTGGTGGCCCTTGAGAAAAATCAGAATAAAAAGCCACAGTATCTTACTGTGCTACCAAAGAGCATCAAGCTTTCAAGCTGAGGAACTCAAAAAAGAGAATTTGGAAACTTACTTATGTGGCATTTTGACTGATCCTCATGAAGTGGTTGGAGAAATTGTTGGTTTTGTTCACTTTGGAGAGTATATGTTTTTGTGTTCAGTTTTTAAATGTGTTTGCATTTTTTAAAGACAACAGTAACCATATTTACGTATGTTTTATTTATTTACTTATTTCATTTTTATACTGCCCCTCTGACCGAGGCTAATCTGGGCGGTTTACAGCATTTAATACCACCAAGTACCATTTAACATAACAGTAGAAATAATAATAATAAAGCAATAAACTTAAAAATATAACATATTTATAGATTGGTAATGGGGAATGAATTTAATCTTGAGATCCTGTTTGCAAGCGTATGGTTTCAGAGACATGTCCTAATGCTGTGGTATGTGTGAAGAGTTGTGGTTTGCATCGAAAAGGCTGTTTTAAATTCTTAGATGTCATTGTGGGTAAGAGAACACAAGGGCAATGTTGCTTCGCTTTTTCAAAGTACTGTAGTGTGGTCTGGAAGGCAGAGTGTTGTATGTCTGGAAAGTTAAGCTTCTCAGAAATGTCCCTTTTTGAGAGCCAGGTGGATGTGTGTGCATTAAATCCAGTGTAAGGCAAACCGGACGTTGAATAAACAAGCAGTGTGAAGAGTTCTTGTATTGAATTTTGCTGCCTGGTGGATGTTTTAGAGCTGTAAACAGGAAAGGGCTCTCTGAGTGATGTGTTTCAATCCGGACTGTGAAAGTTGTGTTTAGAAGGGGAGGGGTTGGTTGCAGAAGTTCTGGGTTGTGTGTGTGTGGGTCCAAATTGTGGGTGCTGTATTTAGGGCTTCCAGGATGTGGACTGATTGTGGAGTTTTGTTTGAAGGTGTGTTTGCATGCATCTTATGGATATTTAGCATTCAGATTGCATGCTATATCGGAATTCTTTTAATATGCAGCAATGATGCCAGTATTTTGTGAATTGGGTTATTGTTTAAAAATAGGATGAGTTGTATAACCAAAATGGAGATATGTGCATTTATGAATCGGAAGCAATTGGGTGTGATTTTAAATAATTGTAAACTGCATTTACTACCTACTTGGGGGGGGAAGAAAGATAGGGAGAGAGAGGCAAATAAAAATATTGAGACGATATATTGGTTTTATGTTATTGATACATGCCATTTATCCAAACAAATGTAATAATTATTTTTTAAGGAAACTCTTTTCCTTCCTGAACTTGCACAAACTTTGTCCCTTTTACAATACCTATAACATCTCCCTGGTGTTTTTGTAAACCATTTAACAATAGAAGAAAATGCATATTTTTCTTACTGGTGGTCCAGATGCTAGAATTAAATTGGGATTACTCAGTCTGTGTGGGTGGGTGTTGGTGAAGACTCCATGATATGCATGAATAAATGGAGGGTGGGTTATTTGCCAGGCTGATATTTACTAGAGCTAGCAGAAGCAGGCATAATTTTTTGGGGGGGCGGCGGCTTTTTTTTTTTTAATTACTCCCTCCAAACTCTTTCCAAAAACATCGGCTTTATCTGCTCTCTCTTCCACTGTTTAAACTGCAGGAAACACGCGCTGAATTGTCACCGCATGAAGCCGGCCCTGTTCACGGTTCTCTGTGAAATCAAAGAAAAAACAGGTATTGTTTGGTCCAGGGTTTGAGAGGGTGGGTTGTGTTCGTTCCGTTAAAAAAAAAAGGACTTGAACTTTATCGGTGCATTTCGGTGTATTAGGAAAAATATTTTGTAGGAGAGGGGAAAGGTAGGCAGTGAAAAAGGGTTTCGGGAGAGTTTGGTATGGTACAGAGAAACGAAGAGACGTGAATTTTCCCTCAAGAGGTTTTGCCAGAGGCCTGTTGTCTCTGCGCCATCTTGGTGCGTCTGGAATTTCTTTGCCTGCCTGCCTGGTTTTCTTTGTAGCCACTTCGCTCCCTTCCTCCCCATCCTCCTCTCCTTTCTTTTCACTGTTGTGCTTTGAAGACTGCCCCTCTTGTGTGTCTGTGTGTGTGTATGTGTGTTCACACTGTTTCCTTTGAGGAATCGGAAGAGGTTTCTCCTCCTGGATCTTTTGTCCACAACAACTGCCCACCTCCTCCGCGCTGCTTTCCCTTCATTTTTATTTTTTCATGTTCATTGCTGACTCTTTCTCCTTCAACAGTCTGTGCTTGGAGGATCTGCTCCCCCCCAACTAGTTGGCTTAGGTTTCGGGCTTCAGGGTGTAGGGTGTGCTTTGCTGAGGCTGCTATAGAAAGGCTGCGTGTGAGTGTTTGCCGGGGGTGGGTGGGTGGATGGGTGGAAGAAAGAGAGAAAGAGCGAGACAGACAGAGGCTGCTTCCCATGTTATTTGAATTTGCGCTCTGACCCGACTAGATTAAAAAGCGAATCGGACGTGGTCCAAACCACAGGGCCTCCGAGAGGATTAGCGAAAAAGGAGAGTGGATGTGCGTCGGGACCGTTGTTAAAAGTTCATCTGGTTTAAGCGGATGGATCGGATCAAGCATTTCTTCAGCTGTTGCAAAGGCCACAGACCTATACATCTTTACCCATTGAAATGGCTTCAATCCAGCTAAAGTCACAAAGAGTTAGCCACGCCGTGAATGGGAGAAAATGGCGAAACTGGATTTTGGAAATTATATCTGGGAGTGTCTGAGCGTGTGCTGGACGAGCGGGGTTTGCTTAAGTGTGTTGTATTTGTCGCTGGTCTACAGCTGGTGGGTCAAGACCTACAACATGGTCACACTCCAGTTTATGCTGAGTCACATCACCGAGGACTCTACTGTGTTCTCTTCTTTTCCTTCTTTTTCTTTGCAATTGGTATCCTCAGGGAATATAATCAAAATCAGGGGGAAAGCAATGGACTCCGTTTTTTGCAGTTTGATTCTAAAGACGGCTTCTGGGAATGAAAGTTTAAAAACTGTTCTTTGTTTTTTTAAAATGTGTCTCTAAATGAATACTTCCTCTTGGTGTGTGTTAATACGGTGTGCAAATTTATCACTCAGAACAGCTAGCTGGGAAAGAGTACTGTACTGTTTTATGGTGAATAGTCCATTGTGTTTTATTGCTCCTTTTGAAGGAGCTCAAGGTGGCCTACGTAGCTCCGAGCCGTTGACCCAAGAAGACACGCAGTAGGTTTTAGAGTAGATTGAGAACTTGAATCTGGATCTCCATGGGATGAGACTCTCAAAATCAGGGGTAAGCAGCTTGGTGCTCTTTTAGGACTACAGTTCACAGAATTCCTGGATATAATGCTTGGGGCTTGTGGGAGTTATAGTTCAAAACATCTAGGGAATATCAGGTCACTTACTCGTGTTTTAAATGTATTTGTTTTTTTAGTATCATTTGTAGATTGAGCTGCTTTTCTCCCAGTGAGGGGACTCAACGCGTCTCACAATGTTAAAACAAGTAAAATAACAAAGGGAATAAATGTCACATTAAAATTATAATAATAATTAAAAAACGTTAAATGATTAAAACCAAAAAGCAAACTTAGCTTAGGTCACTTACTCGTGTTTTAAATGTATTTGTTTTTTTAGTATCATTTGTAGATTGAGCTGCTTTTCTCCCAGTGAGGGGACTCAACGCGTCTCACAATGTTAAAACAAGTAAAATAACAAAGGGAATAAATGTCACATTAAAATTATAATAATAATTAAAAAACGTTAAATGATTAAAACCAAAAAGCAAACTTACCTTAGCTAAAAACCAGTCTCCAGGAGCTCAGTTATGGCCATTAAAAGCCGACCTGACAAGGTGGGTCTTCAACTAAATTTATAGAACCCAAACTCTCTGAAAGACTGGTTTGGTAGTGGATACACTCGTGTAGACGTGTGACACAGGTAACAGGCATCTCTTGCAGTTTATAATCTTTTAGCCCCACAGTTTGTATTATATTCTCAACATCCTCCTCTGTGACTGAATATACCTGCCAAATTAGATCAGCCTTTTCGTGTATCTGATAAAATAGGTTCTGGTTGAAGGAAGTTTTATGCCACAATGGCCAGAATCCTGTAGAGGGTTCATATAAGGTTTATACAGCTTACTGTTGCTAATTGATGAAGTGCAGTGGTATGTCTCAGTTGTGTGTTTAGTGTATACCTGATCGCTCCACAGAGATGTGTCCTGGCACCAACATACACTCTAATGTTCCGCTCCGCTGGGTGGAGCTTTGCCTCTTGTGCACACGATTTCTGTCTGTCTCGCGTGTGTGTGTGTGTGTGTGTGTGTGTGTGTGTGTGTGTGTGTGTGTGTGTGTGTGTGCGTGTGTGTGTGGGTTCAGTTTTGATCGGAACCAAAGGGGCTGCAAGCAATCACTGCATGGAGGAGGAGCAAAGCTGCACAGAGGGAGCACCTTGTCAATTAGCTGCAATTGGTTGTGGCAGAGACCTCACACAACCAGCAGTAGGACTCTGGCCACTAAATTGTCCAATCCTATGCAAGATTACTTCGAAACAGGGTGCGGAATTGTTACTTTTTTGGACCGCTTTTTTCAGAATCCTCCAGCTGGCTTATGCAGCCTGGGATATTCAAGGAATTATTGTCTTTAAAAAGTCATCTTTCCTAAATACCATTAGTTTCATTCAGTGTGATCCTCCCCCCCCACCGGTAAGATGGGCAA